GCTTCTTCTATTTTCCGCTGTTTCGTAAAAGCTTCAAACCTCAATAAAAGAATTTTAAACTTTTTAAAATTTTTTCCTTTTTTTCCTGTTGAGGTATAAAATATATTGTTATGGGTTAGTTTTTCAACAAAAGGGTAAATTAAACTGAAGTCCGCCTATGGTCACTTCGTTTTTGTTTTCTCAGGTTTCAAGAAAGACGACGATTGCACTACAATTTTTTCGTCAAGTTTTGTTTAATGTTAAGGCTTTTTCTAATGCTCCCCTTTGACCTTTTCGACGAACAATGTACTTCGATTTAACCTATAGATGTGAAAAAAAAATAATTTTTTAAATAAAATCAACCAGACCGAAGAGAACCACTCTCTCCGAATATCACAATGTTTGCCATCAGACTTAAGACCTCAATATACATTCCTTTTTCCTGGGCTTGAAACTTGGTACGGCCTTACGGATCTGTTAAGGGATTATGCCAGGCATGTTTCGCGCCACTTCTGTATACGTGGTATGCAAAATAGATTCAAGGATAAGTATAAACATCTAAGGAACTATTTATTTTGGCAGCATGCAATCTTCTTAAGAATAGCATTTATAAGGCAATATATGAGATAATAATTTCAAAGGTAAACACATATATCATCGTGCCGACATTTGGACGTGATACTAGACTTTGATAAACGTCACTCATTTCAAGTTCAATTCAGTACAGTTCTTCATTTACGCGGCCTTGATTGTTTAGTAAAATGGATAAGAAACTTGCTTTGCGACCCGGATATCTGTGCAACGATAAATCAAATATCGAATGCCACCTCGGCCATGGTTGCGTATAGGCCACAAGCTCTGTCCCTGCCCTGTGATAGCTTAGCGTGTAATGTATTCATCTGCTAATCTTGAAGACATGTCGTGGTGTGGATTCAAAGCCGGGCATAGATGCACCTCATTTCGTGCTTGGAGCCAACCGTTTGATGAAATGCGTAACGGTGATAGCAGACGTAAAACTCAAAACACAGAGGGCACTACCTAAAATATTCGTTTAATTTACCATGTTTCTGCTTAAAAGGCCTTTGGTAATAGGGAAGCGGGATTACTACAATATTTATAAAAAGCTGTGCCTATCCACCCACGTTTGGTAGAGCTTAGCAAAATCCGAGTTATAAGTACTCGAAAAAAGGAAAAGCCAGAAGCAAAAATGTTCGGCATACCGTAGTTTATTACTTCTAGAAAAAAAGCGGCTGCGGATACAGCCAATGAAATTTGCCACATGAAGTGCTGGAAGTCTTCTAAAAGCACACTAAGTGTTTCGCCTTCTTCATGTTGGAAAAAAGTCTACAGCAAGCCACAAGTCAGATAGTCTGTTGTAGCCACCAACATAACTGAAACTCTTTAGATTCGTGTGCAAATCAAATCCGTGAATGTTTAGCTACCTCACAAGTTAAGCTATTTTGAGAACCAGCAGCAAGTAATAAAATTTTAACCTACATCGACCTTTTCTGCATAGAAATTCGTAGCGTTATTTTTACGCCGATGATCATACTGTAAATCTATGGAACCACAACGGAATGATTTGGTGCATGTCTTGACAAGATTCTCGAAGTGAGTACATAGTTAACTCATTATTTTCGTGGAAACGGGTTTAAAGTTATATAAGCACAGGACATACCTAGATTGTTCCGGCTGGAAACGCTGAAACATATTTAGAAAATATTCAAAAGTAAAAAAATGTAATAAAAATTAAAAAGGCAACGAGAAAAGCAAGCATAAGTATGACAGAGTCTTTCTTTAGGCGTAAGCCAGTTATCGACCTCGATAAGTAAATGCTTAATATCGATATTAACTCCATCCGCTGCGGTTCTTAGCCGAAATAATGCCACCCAAAAAAATTTATACATAAATTCTAATTAAGCAAGTATGACGATGTGACAACAGTCCAGCCAATTCGCACGTACATTAGTTTTCATTGGCACCGCCTTCAAGACAGGTGGAAGCTTGATGGATTTTAATAGCTTCTTGAGGAACTTGAGACACCGGGTCGCATTCGTTGTTTCGTTTGTGTCGACTATCTCATAGTAGCAGACGTTCCTAATGGTCATTGTAAACACTACCATCATATGTCCAAATCTACTTAGTATTATGACCGAACTCACTTCCTCTTGATGCCATTGGCTCCTCTCGTTTCTTTTTGGCTGGTGATAGAGGTTAAGCCATGCCTTATTTATGGCGACTGCATACGCCAGCAAAGTTTTCATGTATCTGAAGTAAGATCCCGCTTTATTGACGTGGAATACCCCATGCACTGGATCCTAATTGATATGAAGTTACTTTACAGGAAACCAACTTCTTACTCAGTTGTCACGCCTTTAGTACTTGGGCCCTAATTTTGTAATACACAGCATTAGTCGACAGAGCCTTTACATATCAAGTTCAAGTGTCGGGAAAAGCTCCCTCGATTGGGACAATGCTTTTTGACTTTTGGGTCCTAATATCCGGTTACCCTCTCGCTGACCTTCAATCTCCATTCTATCGCTAAGGAATAGGGCAAACGTTTTTCAACAAAAAATAATTGTACTTCAACATTCGCACTGCGTATTCATTTAAAAGCTCCTTACTCTATGTTTTCGATGTATGTTCGTAGCGGTGTGGTCTTTCAGGAACAAAAAATTGAGCACTGTGCATTGATTATTAAAACTAAAAGACGTTTTTTTCTTCTGGACTTACTTTTTCTTTAGTAATCTCAATAGGCTTCCGTTCATAAGTTTCTAGAAGACTGGAGCATTTGCCAGTCAAATCTTGTTTAGCAGCGTGGGGTTCAAAAATTATTCAATTCAAAGTCTGCCGGATTCGTTTGTAACAGGCTAATACTTTCAAGCATTTTTATGGTTTTTTATGATTGCTGCGGAAGTTATTGGGAACTCGCTTGCTCCTAAATAGATCCAAAGAGCACTGTACGCATTTTTCAGACATATTTCGGCTTCACGTACTAATTTACGCAAACCTTCCACCTTTATTTACATGTTGGTTCCTTCTGAGCATTCCAGCTAGTCATTATATTTTAAAAAACGAATTTCAACGATGGCTATCGGTGAGTGATTAGTCATAATTTCTATTGTTCATAGCCTGGTCGTACAGAATTCTGTTACTAATTACACGAATTATGTATTTGCAGCTTCCAAAATCCACCAAGTCTCCCCTAAACCTACGTTGGAGACAATACCAGCGATCACTACGGTATGTGTGAATTATGATTCGATTTTTGCGACGTCACATTTGCATAATTGGCAATTATGTGTAAACTTTTTTTCAGTGCAAACATGTTGAGGTGGCTGTTCTTCGACTAACAACTGTAGCGGATGGAGTTAATGTGGATATTAAGGATTTACTTACTTACGAGGTCGATAACACGTCTATCCCTGACAAAAGGCCTGTCAACGGTGGTATGCCTATGTTTACTTGTCTCGTTACCTATAAAATTATAACATCATATTCTTCAAATATGAGCCTTCAGCGTGCATTGCGGGTACGATTTAAGCGTGCCCTGTACACATATAGGCTTAAGCCCGTTTGCACAAAAATAATGGGTTGTAACTACATACTTTCGCTGAACAGCAGGTTGCGCAGAGTGCTCGATATAATTACTGGTGACAAACAACAATTTCGTAATATCACATTAGGTGATGTCCAGCGAATTATAAACCCCGCATGCATGTTTAAGTTATAATAAATTGTTCGTTCTTTTTTACGTTTATTTTATACGAGAAGTAGTTATAAAATTGTTTGCTTTTTAGACGTTTTACGTTTATTTTATGCGAAAAGTAAATGTGATCTTTCAAGCAACAAGTATATTTTCTCATGTATACAAACGTAACTTACATCGTACCGTCGGTTGTTTGTTTCTAGACCTTTAATTTTATTGTTTTTCATGTTTCAACAAAAAATAGTACCATTTGAACTATACTTTATATATACCATTCATCATCAATTAAATTCGACCGGAACTAGCGGTAATTTTTTATATGTATATATGTATTTATTTTCCATATGATTTATTCAGCACTTCAGCCAAAACTTGGTATTATTCCCAAGCCGTGCGTGTAAAAGCCTGTCTTAGTAAAACGCGTCATTTTTCCTTTTCCTATGTCGGAGCAACGTACACAAAAAACCACTCCACCAGATTCACACGATAATTAGTTTAAGAACCAACACTGGATTTATATGCGGAAAAGTGAATGTAAGAGAGCAAGAAGTAGAAGTACGGTTTTTTGCACGCTGCCACAGTTCATGATCACTTGTGTGCACTAATCCATTTTGCGCATCGTGTATACAGCAATGGCGTGAAATACCCCTGGCACAATTCCTAAACATAGCCGCAAGATTTCAGATTTCAGGTTGTCAGAATTTTCTCAAAGCAAACATTGCTATATACAAAGGGAGATAGTGTCTCCTTAGCCCCATTGAATTTATTTAGAACGTAATTTTTCTTTCAGATTATCATGTCAAATCGAAGTACCTTATCCGTCGAAAAGGCCAAAAGGACGGGTTAGAAAAGGCCTTATCTCTATATGAAAATCGACGTAAAGATTATGTCGCAACCATTGCCTGTCTTGAAACTAGAGAGAACAAAAACGAGGTGAGCATATAATAGACGTGAATAATAATTGTTTCCGCGGTTGAATAACTAACCCTTAACGGTCTCTTTATACCCCAATAGGAAGAAATTTCAAAACTGCGTGAGACTCGAAAGTTTCTACGGAAGCTTCAGCGAAGAATACAAGAAGCCCGCAAAATGTTGAGTGCTATAGCGGATAATAACACCAAGGTAATAGAGGTGAATGTTAAGAGTATTGCTAATAATAACATGGTTCGACTTGATTTTAGCAAAAATGCCGGTAATTATGTAACTTTCTACAGAGTCAAACGATTTTTTACTTTCAGTTGTAGGCGCATAGGAAATAATACCTGATTGTTTTACTACTTTGTTGTTAAAATGCATTTGATATGTGCCCTGCGATAGGCCGACGATCGGTCACCGAAGTGGGCTCCGCCACCAATAAGAACTGGTGCATTGGTACTTCCCACATCGGATGCACCTGCATTTACAATATCTGCAAGGATTTAAGGAAGTATTACCGAGGAGTAGGACCACTGAATCACTCTTGTTAATGTTTTTTCAAGGTCTGCACGAAAAACTGCTAGTGACGATGATGTAGGGCCACGACTACAACAGCGCCAGCGGCTCTATCGACGCCTATTAACTGTACAAATGAAGACATCTTCCGACAGCCCATTGATATAAGGAAGTCTACCACTAATCCTAGTCAGTTTGTCATACCATCGCTTACTGAGCAGGTACATCTCATTAGAATTACCGTTCCGGTTAGTGAGCGTGATTTTAGCCATAGTACGTTGTGTGCTTGAAAAATATAACTTAAATGAGACATTTTATATATTATATAGATCTTTATGAAACGAAAGGTCTTTTATGCAAATAATAAAAAAAAAAAATGCTACCATGACTACTATCATGTATTTTCGTTCCATTAAGCCGGGAAACTTTGACTTACACTTTGCTTCGGTAATAAAAGGACGTCGTAAGGCACACAGTTTCTATGCTAATGTCTCTACAAAGCACAATCGAAAGGTATACTGCCTTTCTTTATGGTGATACTTCATAATATCATAGATATATCTATATAATATATATATATATATATCTGCGCATTTCGTGTTAGCTTCTTTCAGTCCTTACCAGATAAACGAGAGGCTAACACCTAGTGACTCAAAAAGCAAAGTGCACCGGAAGATGCATCGGATCCGGAATCAACGCACTTTGGAGTTGGAGATGCCAGCCATAAGGAGCTTCTCTAAAAGCTTCCAAATATAATTTGGCACGATCCGCCAATGCGGCTATTTTGAAATGTCTAAGTTCAGTATGTACAACGTGCTTAAAACGCCTTAAAAATAAAGTTATCATATGTATGTTAGATAATTACTTTTTACTGGCTAGATAATTTCTAGATATTTAGTTTGTAAATAGATGGCTTCTCTCGAGATCTCAACTTGGCGTGAACTTGTTATGTTATGCTAATGTTCTAAAAAAACGAAGCAGACTGTGTTGGTACGGGGAGTAGATAAATATACCTTCAAAGAAACTTGCAAGCTATAACCTTCGTTTTATATATAAGGTAATAAAATACAAGCAATTTGATTGTAAAAGTACGCTCTTCCATGCGAACGTGCAGTGTAGTCTCCAGTGTTCTGCCATGTACCTTGGTCCGCATTTGAATGAAAATAAGAGCATGGAAGATGTTAACAAATCTTGTTAACAAAAGATCACCCTCAGGTTTTTTAATAGTGAGTTTCCTATGTGCTATCGATTTCAAATTTAAGTTTTCGGACAAAGATAAGCCGGCTGAGTCTTTGCGACAGTGTTTATTCGACATAAAATATCTTCATGACTTGTGATTCGGTATGTGTAATATGGCAGTGCAGCTTTTCTCATTTCCGGGTGTGCGTAGCTCACTACGCTAACCATCGTTATCTAATGTGAACAGCGACACGCAACCATTTGATAACCATCGTTATCTAATGGGAACAGCGACACGCAACCATTTGATTAATCTAAGTCAAAAATGATTCGCGATTCGTTCATTGGCACGTTCTGGTCACCTTCTTCATAAAGATTGTCGAGTAGAACGATACAGTACCACACCTGATCCTAACGAATTTTGAATACAAATCGATTAAGCAGACAACAGAACTATTCATTTTTGTGTAGCAGATTGCTACAGGATTGACCAGAGGATTACACAACTCGTATTTTGCATTTGATTTGACAATCATTGATATTACGTTCAGCCCAGCTTAAATTGTACACACCAACAGTTGTGCAATTATCCTGCCCCTTTTTCTGATAAAACTTGTTAAAGTTTAAAAAAAAAAAAATTTAAAACTGGAACTGATGTGCCGAAAGCACACTATAGCATAGAAACAACTTATTAGTGTGCAGATTATAGATAGCCAAGAAAAAATGTTGACAGAACAGATAGAACATGAGGATGAATGAAACCAGAAGCCATAAACTAAATCCTGTATGAAATGTGCTTTAAACCATGAGCAACAGTATTGCACTAACTTGCAGGTACTACGAAAAATAAAAAGGCAGTCTATTTTTGACATCTTTAAGCATTTACGGAGACTCAAATGTTCATTTTGATGAAGCTGTTGATGCACACCGATTCATACCATGAATTTCAATAAAATGTCAATCTTGGGTTACTACGTAAAAAAAAATGAGACGGACTGACTTTATAAGGATTTTAGTGAACAGTGAAGAGGAACAGAATGCCTTCGTCAGATTATACGATCAAGTAATCATCCATTTGGACCCTTGCAAAAAATTATAGGAATAAGTTCTAATCCTTATTCCTAGTGAACATGGATTTAACGAGTTTGTTACCTGTCTTTTCTAGAAATAGTTATATATTACATAGCCTTCGTTGACAAACAAAGATATTCATTCGGGGTTCATCAAAGACATTACTATATAAAAAAAGAAAGTGCGGCAACACTGTCTGGATGAAGTTGGAAAACTTCAATAAATTTATTATTATTCAATATGATCCTGATTGATGACCCATCGTAGCCGCAGCAAAACTTTAATGTGGTCTACAAGCAGTACCAAAAAGCCTCCGATCGTGCAAGTTGGTCACTAAACAAGGATACGCAAAAAAAGTTTTTGCTTTAGTGTTTACATTCACTTTTTTTTTTTCGATTCGAAACTCACACGAGTGTAAAGACTACTCTGTTGTGAAATCATGGGATAACAGAATCGAACGAAGCGAGTAAAACCAATTATACTGGGATGAAACCGGTGGCTCGCCATACGTATATTAGACTTGGATTAACCGCAGCTTGAAGGAAAAAAATTTAACCTGTTTTAACTTCAACTCGAACCTACTTAGTGCTCGAATGCGTACACAAATTTTCTTGGGTCCGCAGATGGTAAAATGTTTTTAACCTTAGTAAAAGTTTTATATTCACGATGGCCCAAAATCTAAATATCATCCATCACCATTGCAAATATGATAAATGCGCTACGAAAGCCCATTAATTGTTTTTTCAGGGAATCGCTTTCAACTTAATTTAAGATTAAAAATTCATATGATTGAATTTGCGGAGTGTTGAGGAACTATTGGATCACAATATATTCGTACTTTTTTTTCACCCGCAATTCACATAATCACTTGCAAGATTCGTTTATCCAAACCAAGTAATCGACAGTTGAGGCGTACCATTTGAAACACTGCGTCGTACGGGTTATACGAGTTTTGTGTGCGGTAGCGAAAATCAATGAGCAGCAAGTTCTTCAACACAATTTCTCAGGCATCTGGATCACCTGTATGTATTGTCAGGCTTGTGAAAACTAAAATTGCAAAATCTATGCGGAAACCCAAGTTCTTCGAAGTTCAAGTTCTGCTAATTCCCCGCGGAACCACATTTCTAACTGGTTTAGAGTTCATTCACGTTAGACTTATTTTCAACCCAGTTTTCGCAATTTCAGTATTTGTTTTGGTTATAGTAATGGCCAAGAGAGTGCCTAGACTCGAAACTCTGCTTTCGCAAGAAGTCTCTTCAGTCATGGCAATGCGTTCTTGTTCTTCGGGTCCCGACACCCAATCATCTTCTTTTTAGTCTTTAGCATTCCAATATTCGTTCTTGAAACGCTTGCACTATTCACGTACTGCAGCTATTTTACCTAATATACATGATAAATGAAAAAAAAAAGATGAATTTCCGCGGCGATGTGGCCTTCAAGGAATAGGAACTTAACCATAGAGCATTGATTTTCGAAACTAAGGGATGTTTTCTTTTCTGAACTCGTTTCTGTTGGAGATAGTCTTCATTTACAAGATTTACTAGTTTTTGAGTCACAAGAGTATTTACGAATCAAACCTTTCTCTCAAGCAGCAGCTAAAATATTATTCAGGTTCAAATTCCGCCGAATTCACTTGTAAGACTGTTATTTGGTTATGTAATCTGGTTAATGTCTTCGTAGAGATTCGCAAACGCTGCTTATTGTGAACAATCGGTGAGAAATGAAACCTACAGCAAAGTTGAGGCCCCTTCTAAAATCAATTTTTCTGTGCCCTTTATAGGAATTGACAATGATATCATTTTTGAAATCTTTTTTTTTTTCGATTAAATCTCAGATCGCATCGGAAACAAAACTTTGATGAGTAGCATCTTTAAAGAACCCGATTCGTACTTCCAATAGTTACTAAATAATGCATCCTTGATAGATCTAGCTTGAATTTCATGAATGAAGTGAAATTGTAGAACCCATGCGTACCAAAGTGAGTGACGACAAAACTGTTCAGTCAATTCGTTCTATTAGTCTCGTTGTTCATCATCGTACCCGAAGTAACACAATTCCCATCAATCTATGCAGTGTCCGCTTTCAATTCCTAAGGTGGGCCTGGAACGATGTTTAGCAATCCTACCAACAAGCTGTCTGACAATTACTAGTCTTCGGCGTGTTGCCATCTGTATTTGAGCTGAGAAGTCGTATTTAAAGTTAAAATTTGTCATTTCACTTGTAATGCGTGTCATGTATGACAAAATTTTGAATCCGTACTCCGCCCAAAGAAAACGTCAAGACTAATTCATACAAAAATCATTTTTAATTATATTAGGTGTTTTTAGTTATAACAATAAGAGGGCTGTTGTTACAACAGCACTCTTAGTAAAATAAATTAAAAATCTTAAAGCACCTTAATATATTAAATACTGTATATAAAAATAAATATTTTGTTTCATTTTCCGCTAGTTAGCGCTAGAGATAGTCCTTCTTCTCCATGCACTAGTGTCGTAACGTCCGACGCTAATTTCCTCTGGCATAACTTCTTCTTAGGACAGTCCCTATGAGCACACAGAAGTTTCCTCAGTTCTTCATCATTTAAAAATGTAAACAGCTGCACAAGCTGCACAGCTTCGGTGTCTGATCTTTGCAGCAAAAAATTATACAAATCTTGAGGTGACGTTTTAGTAGGTGACAACCATATTGCATTGCCAACACTTTTGCCGAACTTTTCTCCAGTCACCGTGGTAATTATGGGGGTCATAAATCCATAACAATTTTCACCATGAGTTCGCTTAATTAAATCGTGACCGCTTTCAATGTTGCCCATCTGGTCTTGTCCACCTGCAAACAAATATGTGTATTCTAAATTCGCTCATTCCATGTGAAAATATAGCATTGGCGTAGTGCATATTTATTCATTAAATAATAAGGCATAACAAACATAATACTTACCGATCTGTACGCAGCATGTGTACATTTCGTAAAGCCGCAACCAATCATATGCTTGAAAGATCTGGTAACTGAATTCGGTAACACTCATACCACCAGGGCTATTTAATCTTTGGCGGACGGACTCTCTGTTGAGCATTTTGCTTAGCCGAAAGTGCCGTTCTACAGTTCCAACAAAACTGTCTAACGTCTGATCGAGGTACCAATACGAATTGCGGACAAGCTGTAAATTTGGGAGAAAATTGCCGTAATGGAAGTACCTAAAATAAAAGTGAACAATTAATTTTAAAGTCTGAGCTGAATATCTTTTTTATCGCCGGAGTGAAAACCGACCTTATTGTTATGCTAAAGACAAAAAAAAAGAATTTATACAAGCAATCTTTTACGCGGAATATTAACATTATATAAGACGTGTATTATAGTTATAGCACACGTCCGTTAACAGCTTCACAGCACAAAGGCAAGCACAGCACACACTTACCTTTTGTAATTGTCGAAAACTGTTCTAATATTTTTTTCAAGCCCTTTAGAGTTATTCTCGATAATATCCTGCTCCATAGTACTCCTCTCAGTCAGACGTCCACTAGGGTCACCAACTTTCGCAGTAGCATCCCCAACGACGACGATAGGCGTCAGGCCTTCTTTTTGCAGGTGCAGTAATAAAATCATTGGCAAGAGATTTCCGAGATGAAGGCTATCGGACGTAGGATCGAATCCGCAGTACACCGACTGAGACTGACGAATTAGGCTTGGTAACTGCAGACTTTACGAGTAGAGAAATTTAATTAGAAAATATTATGGTTGGCTTAATGTAACAGTGTGTAGGATTCACGACGCGATGGTTCATGCGATAACGTCTATGGTTGCATGTGTAATGCTTAGCGGAAGCCCCTAAATACAACATCTAAAAAAAGCTCGAGTGGTGCTAGCACCCAGTACCGTAAGGTTACTAAAAATAAGAATGTCAATTATTATGTTGTACGTCCGTCTTCACTAAAAACACTAACTCCTCAATAGGAGGAAACACCTTATTTAGTATTCCCCTCTGCTTCAGGCTGTATAGACACTTTAGCTGTCGAGTTTGGTAAACTGATGATGTTTTCAAAGACCGCCTCTGTTGTTTAAAACTATTTAGTAGGCCAGCCCACAACATCTCCATGGTTCTTTGATACCGAAACATCTGTAAGTTTCGAGAAAGAATTATGGTTAAATAAGTCCAACAAATGAAAAATTAGCTTAAGGAAATTAAACGTTATATTGAGAGCAGATTTATAGGAAAAATTTAAAACTACTGCTAAATTCAGAATTTGTTTCCAATTAATTATTTTACTACATACCTCCGAAATATATTACTAGGTGGATTCAACTGATACCACCAAACAGCTGACAGTCTTCCTACTTTTGTTGTGAAAAGATACTGCGCACTTCCAAGAGCAGACGCGAATTTATAGTGAATTGTGTTCAAATTAGCGCGCGCATAAACCATATGTCTAAACATTAGGTAAGGTCCGCCATCTTGTTCATGAGCAGTTAGCCTACCGGTATGCGAAATAATAGAAGAATGGTTTAAATTTTAACAAGTTGGTCGCATTAAATGTCGCACAATCTCCTAAATAGCTTGAGAACAGCGCTGTCCCTTCGGCAAGGTAAAGATTAACCGATTATTGTCTCCTACACTGAATTGTCCTTTGCAGGTCATTATTTTATTACTTTTTTTGAACTAGATATATAGTACTCCTCGTTCCTATTTCATTTATTGCAGGAAAGAAAGTACGGACATTTGTTGCATAGCTGAAGAATTATATGTCTGCTACTCTACAGAAGATGCTTACTAAATTGTATAGCTTTTTTTCGGTTTTTTTATTGTTTTTCTAGAAATGTCTATTGCCTATAATAAACCTTCATTTGTCTCATTATGAAGCTTAGTGCGAGGTGTCCATTAACTATAGCTGCTACGGAAAGAAAACGCTCCAATAACATACCTAAGTAACATAATGACTATATAGCGGAATATAAATATTAATACGTGCTTAGACATTGATCTGTGTGTTGTTTTATATACTTACTTATAAACTACAAAATATTACTAAATAAACATAGCACTCATGTAATTGAATACCTGATAGCTATAGAACAGCTATATTGACTTCTACATGCTTTCCAGCTAAAAAACAACCTAAAAATCTGTACAACAACTTATCAACACGTTTAGGCACGCTAAAAATGAAAAAAATTTCCGGTATTAGGCCACTTTACTCCGTTGGCTTATTGTTTTTTATGAACTAGGTGAATGCTTTTTGGACATTTTCTAGCAGTGCCGTTCGTTACGTTAATGTTAAGATAAATGTGTTATAGAAATAGGTTTTATTTATCAATAAGCAAACTGCTGAGAAATTTTTTGCTTTGAAATGACAAGAGGCACCTATATAATATAAATAGTCATTTTGTAGCAATTATGAGACCTAAAAGTAGCATGCAAGGGAAACTTTGCACGGTAAGCCTATTTGAAGTTAAGCAGGATTTTTTTAATGGAGAAGTCCACTTACTGTGTTTGTACCAAAAGTACATTTAATATATCATTTAAATACTGTTAATAATATATGACATATATTGGAAATATCCGCAGATGTTTCTACGTCGATATCATCAATATTCGTTTCATTTCCTGCGACCAGTTGAGTGGAAACAGCGACTCACTTCTGCGCTAATCTATTGTAATCAAAAAAGTCTACACAGCCTAAAGGAACGAGGCATTATCAAGCAGGTGCTATCATCTGTTAATGAGTTAAGTTTTGTTGGTAAAAAAATCAAAGTAATATAAAAATAAACTCTGTAAAGCGTTCGAAAAAAGCGAATAATCTATAATTAATAAAAATAAATCACGAGTTTAATACGGCTTCGCTGAAAGAATTAACCCATAGTTTAATTTGGTTGGGTTTTAAGCCCTTCTTCTATTAAAAAGCTCATGTTAGTATTTTGAAAACAGAAGTTTTATTGAAAGAGTCGTTTCAGTGGTTTCTCACACTTTATTCTGGAAATTTTGCCACGAATATATAAGAAAGCGAATGAGTAGTTACTCTGTCTATGAACAATATTCGAGCAATATGGTCTAATTTAATTTTTTTTCGATGGTAGATTGTCTATTTATATACTAGGTCCCCTGGATACTATTATAATCAATTTAGAAATATATTTCTGGGAAATTTGTAATACAAAAAGAATAAAATAAAATTCAATACAGAAAACGTGAAGGCGGTTTACGCTAAGATTTAAAATAAGAGTAAAGTCAATTTATGGTTTTAGCGTAAAAAAAACAACAAATGAGTTCTACTATTACTTGGAAGAAAACAATTTTTTCTATTCTAATCAAATTATATTAGGTCGAGGCAAACGCTTTTAATCAGTCGAACAGCCTTAATTTTTGCATTTGCTAAGGCAGCAGTAGATACGCAAGTTATTACTAAAATAGGCGGATATGACTATATAGCACACTTGTAATGTGGGCATCCGAACACCATTTTTTTCTATAATAGTATGGCATAATAACATAGCGTTAGTATATGTCCAAAAATGCAATGGCTACTACAATGACGGCGATGATTATGGCACTTTAATTGGCAAAATAACGTAGCTTACGTTTCTTGTCTGTTCGATCATTTTCTCGCAGTCTACTATATATACGTCGTAAAAATCCTTGGGAAATACGTTGCCCAAGAAAGGCTCTGTGTGTTTTGGGATTTTCAATAAACGCTTGATTTATAATATTTGATTTTTTTCCTGCGTAGCCTTTGTCAATCTGCGTCGCAACAGATCCGCTATCCTCAAACTTATTGCCTATTGTGTTGACTCTTTGGCTCGACGGCGGCGTTGTCCCAAAGTCCTACACCGTTTTTGTCGTTCTGCTTGGTATTTTTCATGTTTCAATATTGTCTGGTAACCCACTTCCATTTATCGTTAACAAAACCTTGTTCAGGTAATCAGTATAAGAAACCTAAACAGCATGAAGTAGTCATCAACTAGATTATCAGTACGAAATGTCTGACTTATATTATGCACAATACATCACTACTGACTTCTGCTTATCACGCGAGCCTATTAAGATATCGGCAAGTGTTAGTTTTAAATCAGAATTGGAAAATAGAGCGCGAGGCACCTTCAATTTAAGAATTAGTGCTCTCCATTTCTTTTTCCCTGAGCTTAAAGAGACTCTTCTCATGGTGTTTTTATCTAACAAGAATAGGCAATATGTGTAGACCTGTTCAAATTATTAGTACAGAATGAAGTTTGGCGTTTGTCGAGTGAGGCGGTGTTAAATCTTCTAGACTCTAACATCGTGAATGCAATAGATTATATATACAAACATATATTTACGCACATTTCTCATCCCAAATTGCTAGCAACTGTTTTTCAAAACCTAGATGAAATAAAAAAAAATCGTGCAGTTCAATATATTGCACATAACACACTCGATGACAAGCTATACCCAGAAAGCAACTTTGACGGCAGACGAGAAATTTATAATTGTGCTTGGATCGTGTAAACCTGTTAGGGTCGAATCTAAATCGATAAAATTATTAGACGGCTCTTAATTGCACTCTCAGTATACGCCACTGTAATATTATATCCTATAGGATGCTTATAACATTGTATAATAGGATTATAAAAATATAAAGTGCCGCTTTGACAAATACGTTGCAGGGTCAAATATTTCCATTATTGCACTAATTTTTACCTTCTGCTTCTTTTATTAATGTGAAAGAAAGACCCTTTAACTGTTAAGACCTCATGCTTTTTGTTTCAAACAGTTAAGAAATGTTTCTGTAGACCACTGAAAGGTTTTTCCTCAGCGTGTTAAGAGCTCTTTGCCTCAACCCGTACACGGGCTGTTTCGAAGAAATTAGTGCATATTTTGGCGGGCTGCTTATTGCCAGATCGTGGATATGCTTTAACTCTCTATTCTCGGTACCGGAAGAAGTAATAAAAGCACAAATTCTTTATAGTGGAAGTAAAGTGTGAAATACAAATCAAGGTTCTGTCTTGTCTAATGTGTTAATGTTGGACGAACCAATCAGAAATGACAGTCTACACCGTTTCCAGTAAGCTTGCTATTTCCGAGGAACCCAAGGACGATTTCTATCGAGAAAAATAAAGGTCCGCTATAATGATTAGATTGAAAAATTTAACAGGAAGGTGCACAAAGATATTTTTGAGGATCCCGTACGCAGAAATTAACGGTTCTTCTTGAAAGAAGAGTCTAAAATTCCTTACCAGTCTCATCTCAAGCCACTTGGCATCTTTTGGCTTTCAATTTTTTACGATCAGCCAGCAGCTCCAGTCTGTAGTTTCGGTCAGATGTTAATAGTTTAAATATGTTTATAAAAATAATAGGTGATATAATATATATATATATATATATATATATCACTTAATATTTTTTCGCTTTTCCGAAGCGTAGACAGAATGCCAGTCATTTATGCACAATGCACTGCTTCAGATAAAATGAGCTACGTTTTAAAGCAGCTTTTACGGAACTGCAAAAATGTATATCTTAAGAGCTAGATACTTACCACGCTAATCTCGGTTGCTGTGTTACATTAAGTATATCAGCTATCTGTAAAAAGTCTAAGCTAAGTTCATTTAAGTTAACGGAATTTACTTGTTAATGATCTCTTTCGTTTTTTAATCATACCCTTCCTCACATTTTAAATTCACATAGGTCAGAATTGCTCCGTTTTCTGCATCGTTCAAACGCAGCGTACTGTGGCTTTGACCCTACTACGGATAGCCTTCATGTAGGACATCTTCTGCCAATAATTTTGTTGTTACATATTCAAAAACAAGGTATAAAGCCAATAGTGGTTTTGGGCGACGTTACTGCGAAAATCGGTGATCCTAGTTGTAGGGTAACTGCGAGGGACCCTATTCTTGAGGCAACTATCCGACATAACTGCACGAAGATTGAAAAAAACATTTTGAGAATTTTCAACAACTACCAAACGTATGTATTTAACACTAATAAAATAGAAATATTTTCGAGCTGACTGACTTAGATTTTACAAACAGGCTATTTATCGGCTGCTAAAGTACTGTACAAATAGCAAAATATAATAGGTGCGCTCCAATTTCTTCGGCTGCAAGGTCTCAGTACTAACTTTTTCTACTAGAGCTTTTCTATTGATATTAAGTAATCTACCAATTCGCCTTTAGAATATGTAAAATAATTGAAGGAAGATTCACTGAAAACGTAATTGCTGAGTGAGTTACTAATTTATCTTCTTTGAGATTACTGTACACTAAATAGACATCTTAAGAAAAGATAATTAAAATGAATGTTTTAATTAAATATTATTGTGCTATATTACATATTATTTACTTATTTTATAGACGTGTGTATGTGACTTGATTAATATCCATATGAATAGATACTTCCAGTGTGACAGTCCTCTCCCGAAATTGCAAGTACTCCGTAACTCAAGCTGGTATAGGCACGTAAATGTGGTGCACTTTCTAGCAACAATCGGAAGACATTTTCGATTAGAAAAGATGCTTGAGCGCGCCAGCGTTCAAGAACGACTAGCCAATTCGGATGGCATGAACGTTGCTGAATTCAAATATCAAATGTTTCAAGCCTACGACTGGAGTGAACTGTTTGAGCAGTATGGATGCCGCGTACAAATAGGTTAGTTTTTCTTTGATATACTGCTCAATGGCGCAATATGGAATCTTTTTTTAGTCTCTAATCAGTAGCACAACGGCAAGAAAATGACGCCAAACCATTATATCTATTGCAGTTTCCTTTTAGAATGCTTATAACAACTATATTTAAGTAAATTTATAGTTGTTTGATGATAGTGCGTAATCAAACACACAGATTCGGGCCTACCATGAATTTATCAACTTTCATTTGACATTCAAATCTGACATTGAATTGAATGTTTTTGTTGGACCTCTTTATATCTTGATTACTATAAAACATGATTCGAAGGTGAATTGTAAAATGGCTTGAATTTATTCTTGTGCACGGTTTATTATAAAGTTGGAATGGCTGTTTAAAGTTTTACATGCACCTTAAACTGAGTTCAATAATTTTCTTGGTAATGATTTTTAAATATGAAATATCTGATCAGAAGTTTTGATCGGCGCTGCGGATTTTCCACTATTGAACTCTTTCATTTCTGTTGGTATTGAAAAAGTATCCTCGAAGGACGGAAGTATAATGATTGACCTTTCGTAAATAGCATAAAATAGAAGCTGATAAGAATACTTATTTATTTTTAAATCATTTGCATAGACTCATCTACAACAAATTAAGATATTTGGACGATGGGTCAAGGAAGTATTAAAACGATCCGGTTACGATGAACGGTTTTGGTTCAACATTTTGCAAAATAACCAAATACTAAATGTGGACGAGACACAATCAACTAATATGGGCGGAGGATGTCGTGTTACCAAGGGTTTCGATTAGAAGATCGGGCACATCAGTCTTGTTGGAAATGGATACTCTAGCTTTTCTTTGATGATTAATGATTCAGTAATTATGATAAGGCTATGCGCTCCACGATAAGCACAGTGCACCTTTTGAGGTGTTTGTAAACATCCTGTTAAAAAGGTTCTGATTAATGATATGAGATTGTTCACGCTAGCCAGAAGTTATATAGGGCTAAAGTGCTTATTAGCGCTAGCTCTTGGCGAATGTTATTGAACAGCCCGTTCATTCATGGCTACAGAAACATCTTGAATGACCTTTTGTGGCCAAAGCATGATTAGAATTATTATTACTTAGAGAGAATTAGAATTATAATAGAAAGAGAATAGAAGAAAAAAATATGAGAGGTAGTGGCTACTCGATTTGTGTGGTAATGAGTTAAAGTTTACGGGGAAGCTCTAAACATTTAGTCGTCGGCTAGATTTTTCTACAGATTTACATTTTACACCATAGTATTTTCGAGTCAAATCAAATCTATATATACGAGAAAAAAAACTGCTTTCGAGACAGTTGGGGTTTTAATTCTATAACAAATCAGATTACAATACAGATACTTATTGGACGATTTTATGAAAATATATAGGATTTAATCGAGATCAAAATCGAAGGTTAAGCTTTGAAGAACTGTTGAAGCTCTGTAAACAAAGCATTTTTCGAATGGTTTCGTGGGACGCCAATATTCATTTTAACTCTAAAGGTTGAAATATATGGAAGAAAATGATTTTCCGAGCATGAAATATTTGATTAAAGCATTAAATAAAACGTTATTGTGTGGAAGACACTGCCTTAATTGAGAAAGTTTTCGTGGATGCAGAGCCTGCCTTTTCTTCTACAACTTCAGACCTTATTTAATATCCAGTTCAAGCCATTTTAGTGGGATCTAATAGTAATATGTCAAATAATACATTTTCATCACACTCGACTTTTTAGCTCTAAAAATAAAAATTTTTGCGGCCGAATATTTAAAGGTGTATGCGCAAGTCTCCAAATATCGATGGGACTAACAAAATACTCAACCAATTTTTAGTTGGAATGTAATAGCGCAACATTTTTTGTAAGGAACAATAAAATATGCCAATCCTGCCATGGGAATCAAGTACGATTTTAATGTGTGATATTAATTATTTGATTATGTTGCGAGCATTTACTAATACGAGGCAGATGCTGTCCTTCTAGGTGGGCAGGACCAACTGGATAACATCAAGGGTGGACGTAACCTAATCAAACAACTTTATGGCGACGAAGAAACGATCGGCCTAACGACTCCTTTAATTTCTGCTGAGTCAGGCGACAAATACGGCAAAACAGGGTGTAGCCCTATATGGCTGTCATCGGAAAAAAATTCAGCATACGACCTTTATCAATTTTTTTTACGAATGGAAGATATTGAGGCAGAGCGGTTTGCTCGAATGTTTGTATTTGCCGGAAACGAAGAGTTACAGGAAATTGTTCGAGCACATCATAACTACCCGGAGAAACGATTATGTCAAAAAAAACTTGCGACAGACATTACGATACTTGTACACGGGCAAGAAGGACTGAATCTGGCTGTCAAGGCCACTGAACTATTATTTGGTAATAAACTAGACCTTCTTCATCAGCTTACTACTGAGGAATTTGAGCAGATATTTACAAAGGCTGCATATGTTGAAATACCACGCTGTATAAGAGACGAATCTAAGATTGATCTGGTTTCATTATCAGTGCTTGCTAAATTATTTCTAACAGAGAAAGATGCAAAGAGAATTATTAATAACGGAGGACTGTATTTAAATATGAAAAGAGTTTCAGCTATTCCACCAGATGTTGAGCTGCCTACAGGTATTACATTAGCAAGGGTTGGTAAGAAGAATTATACATTGATCAAGTGGATATAGATTTATATAGGACCTATATTCATACTTCTTGTTCTTAATCGATTCAAAGCATTTCGTTATCATATATTTCTCGGTGATTATATCCTTATAAGTGTTTTCATTGGTATTAAGTGAAATAAACGAAGTTTTAGGGCAGCAATCTGTGGATCTGTCTCTTAACAATACATTGAAGATCAGCTATACGCAATCTCTACCACAAAGTCTTCACGTAAAATCTACCTACCATGTAAGGTCGAGCTTCGCCAATTCGGTAGGTAAATATTAATTTTTAGTTGACAATAGACACGGCGTTTAATCTTTAATTTTTTTTTTTATCATAAAGAACTTTATCACCGTTTTGAACCAAAATACAACAGGTTGCACTTAAACATTTCTGAAATGACTAACTCGTTTGTATTCTAACGAAATAATACATTTTACGGTACAATCCACAATATTAAAATGTGAACGAAGCTTGAAGCAAATTTAAAAAAGCTTCTAAAAAAGGATCTAAAGGCAGTTAGTAAGCTTATTTAGACAAAAAAAAAAACCTGAGTTTACAAAATCAACGCGTTAGTGCCTTTGAAGGGGCGACAAAAACTCAACGAAAGCCTTAACGATTTAAAGCCTAGAAAACTTATTTTTCTTATGAGGAAGCTTTACTATATTAAGAGTGGATTGAGCAGTCAAACACAACGGAAGTTGACAGCTATAGCTTACGTTTCGACATAAACCATGATTTAGAAGAATGCTAACCATTTTAGTTTGTGGGCTTAGAGTCTCCTTACATTTACTGAACGTCTTTATAGTAATGAGCTGGGCTAAAAGGTTTCATCGTTTTCGTAAATATCCAGTCTTCAAGCGCTGTTCAAGGTATTATGAACTGTTTTTGATGAACTAGTCTTGCGAATTTCATCTCTTGCCGTATCACGGGCAATGGGCTTAAAGGAAAATGTTCTGTACTGATAATGGTATAGTATTTATTAGCAGATATTTAGGGGGAGAAAATTTCTTGAAGTTCAAAAAAGCCATTTAACAGTTCGAGAATCCTCACTTGTCTTCTTTTTGCTTTACCAAATGCAAAATAAAAACTCTAAAACTGTTGGAAGACTTCTGCTCCATTCTGCATAGCTACACAATGTAATATCTTTTTCCTTAACCCATGCCAACGTTAGTATATTATAGTAAAAAATCATGTCGTACATATCCCAGAATGTTTGCTTATTGACCAATCTAGGAAGTATTTATTAACATTTATGGGCTAGTGAGTTCTATTGATTCTATATATAATAGTATTTGTTTACGTATAAAATAAACTCTGTAAACCCCTTCAAAAAACTTTGTGTAGATTAATATTCATGAAGTTTTCGAAGCCCAGAAAATTATCATAATTATTTCGTTTGTATGCTTTGTAATATGAGTCAATGCATGCGTATATATATATATATATATATATATATATATATATATGAGTCGACCATCTCTAAGAGAAACACTATGGAAAAAAATCTTTTTTACGCTGAAAATATAAGTACGTTTTTAGATTTTTTAGAAAAAAATGTTTTACCTGTTCCCTACCACGAGGTTGTTGCTGCAGAAAAGGTCAAAACTTAAAAAAAAAAACGTGATGTTTTCGCATTTCGTTCTAACTTCGTTTCTTTAGCGGAATATTTACGGAACGTTAAAATCAGTTTTACCATGACATGGAAGAATAACCGCATTTGTACCGTAGCAGGCCAACGGTAGCACAGTAATTGCTAAGGGGGAGTTGCTAAGGGGGAATGCCATACCTGGCATATCCTACAGGAGCAAACCATGACTGGAACACGACAGAAAGATATCAGACTGGGCAATCTGAATAGTCGGTAAAGGAGTTCTTGAAAAAAGGATAGTAGATAATAGAGCAAAATGTTCCGCATTTACATTGTGATTCGCACCCCATATTTACAAATGCTGCATTATAGTATTTTCCAGGGGCATGTCGTTTCCATTTGTTTCTATTAGCTATCATCAATAAAGTCTAGAGTCGCTAATATTAAGGAAAAGACTATTCCCGCTTAAGCTATTGAGCTTTCTAGTTGTGTCTACTCTAGCGTCAACTAGCTACACATGTCCGTGCATACAACCTAACTTAAAACGCCCCGTCGATTACTCACACTAGTCACGTTACTTCCAAGATGTTTCAGTAACTTTTACATATACATATTCATACCGTTTCTACTTCTCGCTCGACGTCAACGCTTACTTGATTACTGACGTGATTTTACCACTTGATCTTCCGAATTGATTCACTCACAGTTGTTGTTCCGAAACTGGCGCAAGTTTGGTTTGATCACAATTGCAGTACTATCCCTATTAACGTCATAAAATGTAACGCTTTTAACAGTACAGTAGAAAAATGTACCTCAAGGATAAGTTGGTTACAATTACACTCATATTTAAGTTCTACATAGCAAAAACAATTACTTTTTTGTACAGTGTTTATACGTATTGTACTTGTACAGTCAAAATCTAAGGTCAATCACCTTCGTTGTTATTCTTTTACACTTTATAGTTCTGCTTCATTACACCATGATTTGGGAGCAACGTATTTTGAAGTTCTTGTAATTTTAATATAACTTTTCTTTCCCCGGAGATCGTCTATATAAACAAGTTTTGCATTATTTGTCAAGGGAGCCTTCATACTTTTCGTAATTTACTTTTTACTGTTAAAGCTAAACTTTCTCAACTCTGCCGAAATGGGCTGAAATACAAATACAGCAAAACAAATTCAGGAAAAGATCGGTTCTGTAAGGCACTACTTACCATCGTGCAAACTGTGGCCATTTTGCACCATCATAGTTGGCGTGAGCATTTGGCATATAAAAATGCATCAATTATCGAATGTTTAATATTCTAAGAATCCAACTTTTAGCAACCTTACCACCGGCGCATGTAATGAACAACTAGTGAATTAACGTAGTAGCGCTGCAAGGTAACGTGACTTCACTCTAAATAAATTCCACCCTGATTTAACTCAAGTTGTGGCTTGATTTGAGGCAAGTTGCAGCTTAACTCGAATCAAGCTACGGCTTGGTTCGGGCAAATTCTGATTTGTTCGGCTTCAAGTAGCCCCTTATATGCAGATTCGGGCCTCATTTATCTAGAAATTGTGATGTTATTAATGTTCGCGGTGCGCACTTTCACAGTGTATGTACTCTGAAACGAGTGAGAACGCGTATAATGAATGAACACTAAGGCCCCTCAAAAAACAACTCTAACGTTTTTTTGCGAGTTTTGCGTATGGGCTAAACTCAACGAGAACCGCAAAAACATTGCGGTGAAATCTATATATCTGCCAAAAATTAAGTTCATACCAAAAGAAAGTAAAAAGCTTCCCCATAGACACTATTGTAAACTAATGAGCCCTGGCATATGGATGATGGTGAACCCGTGATCTAATGGTTTGGGTGTTGCAGAAATGTATAAATAAAACAGGAATTAAATGCCAAAATAAGACCTATTGAAATATTTTAAATGAAATTTATTGTTATAAATAAGGTTATATAAAACGTGTATTGTTCAGAAGCTGAATGCATACGCTGGGTCGATCCTGTAGTTTTTAGTAAGGTGCAAATCATGCGCAAGAAAGGTATGAATAAGTAACTGAACTTGGATGTTCATAGGCACTAAGGATCAATTCAGGACGCGGTTTGCTTTTGAGTGGACCGAGTGGCAAGAGCCACTTGGTTCCAATATTAAAAATATATATTGTTATGGCGAAGAAAATATACCATAATTGCTATTTCGGAGGCACGAAGTGGTATAAAAGCTGTTGTTTTTAGACAATATATTGTGATTCTCCGATGAAGAGACTGTCCCTTAACAATTCATATATGTATACAAACTTTTACCCGCTTTGAAACGTAGAATAGATACTCAGGTCTGTAAGCCAAGACTGCGCATCTAAAAATTTAATAAGGTATAAAAATTACTCATTCAAAATTAGACGCATTTTGAGAAATAGTCTCCGTCATCTTATAGTCTGCGGAACCTTTATTAGCCCGGCTATAACTGGGTTTTGTGCCGAAGTTTACTCTTTGGACGTCAGTTCCCTTCTAAAGTGTGACAGTGACGATGGCTAGCGTACTAAATTGTCGGCTTTCTAAAGTGGAGTAGCTTTTTAAAATCACCCCCAGTTTGTTGGATCTTTAAATGCAATAGTCTTGTTTATTGAGGAACCATTCAGGTAAAATGGACTTCATCGAATGGCCGCTTACTGTGTTATTATTTGAGCACACGGGTCTTTGTTTAAAACGTTTAAACAAATACCATTCATTCAGGCTACGTGCTCCTTTGCAGTAAAAAAAACTAGAATCTTGAAACATTCGATTGTCATTAAGGCAAACGTACTGTCATAGAAAGTTTGCGCAGAAAACCAGTTTATAGCGGGTGATGAGGCATCCCATATGAAAGCTTGCAACGATCCTTGCAGAAAATTCTGGATAAATATTGAACCCTCTTATTGGGAACAGAAATAAATAAACAAATATAATATAAGCATTATACACAAGTTGATATTTACTTTAAAAGATTCTTTGGCTGTAACAAGTTTTAATCTGTACTTTAGTTTGAATTTTCTCTGGGAAAGTAGGGACCGAATCCTATCGCAATAGAGGAATTTTATCTTTTTATTAATCAGAAAAGACTATAATTCTTTTAAAATGCATACTTTCTTATTTCATACATGTATTTGGCGTTACATTTTTGATTAAATTTGCGTCAGATTGACATGTTGAACTAGATGTGGCTATCAAAAATATATAACTAAACTATCATCTCAGTAGTAAATGCTTGATGTGTTAACGAGAGCCAAAATACACCGCAGAACTAAAGAAATGCCCATTGTGACTAAACCAATATAGCGACAGTATTATTATAATTAATATAACTAGTTTCCAGTCCCCTGTTCATAGAAAACACCATAGTTGGTATCAAGATCCCATTGTAACACAATTAGCCCCACCAGCAGATGCGCTGTAGGATATCCAGTGAATTCACATTCTCACATTTTTTTTTAAACCTCTTTATATTGAAACGATAGTAAGATCAACTGAGTAATCATCTTTTAGAGCATTTTGTTCCATCAATAATTTATTTATCCTTATCAGGCAGTTATCAAAACAATAAAGAAAATGTTTTAATATGAAAAGTAAAATAAATAATTACAGTTAAATAATATTCAAATCATTACGACAGAGCTGTTTTATTTATTGCGATACTCCATCCTTGTGCTTTCATTTGGTTATATGATCGCATGACAAAACAGAGCTTTCGAGCACTGGCCTGCACTACTTATTAGTATGTCATCTACGAAAAAGGCAAATTTTTGGGGCGGCTCTTAAACATTTGGTTCCAGAACAAGAAAGGATAAGCTTATTGATTAAAATATATAGATGTAAAATGTGAGTATGGAAACCACATATTGTAACTGCAGCATTCTTTTTTCATGTCATGAAGCATATTTTAGTATATTTATGCTCAAATTATTCTTGCACAAAGTATATTTGTAAGCTTATGTTTATACATATACTATGTTTTGCTTTTATATGCTTTACTTATTATTTTCTTGGTTAAAGATAAGATTTTTGTATTCGTGAATATATGATAATAATTGCAATATCAACATTAGTAGTTATTTCGTATAACTGATAATGCCATATTGGTCCAGAAAAGAGAGACGTGTATCTGCTGATTTAGTGTGTTTTTGATTAGATTGATCTTACCCACTATTGATTGATACCTAATTGACTGATTCTGTTACACACCATCTAAACAACCTAAGGCTAGCTCAATCAACACAACGTACCGGACTTTTTGTCGTACGAATCTATTATCATCGAAAGAATTAATTACAATATATTCAACTCAAATAAGAACTTATCAAAAAATTAAAAATGTATTTAGTTTTATGGTAATACTTTCTTTGTGTTCTACGCGTTGGTACTCGATGGCTCTTAGCTTTTATAAGTATCCAAACACAGTGGAAGAAATTGCCTTCGCGTGTAGTGAATTATATTAGAAATATCAGGTTGATCGGTGTGCTAAATGAAATTTCCGCTTACCTCAAACTATAATAAAACATTTTACCTTCCCAGGCCGTGACGATAAATCCAAGACAATCTCTGTCAAATATGTGGTTTAGTAGAACAACATTCGTAGCATAATACGGCTAAAGTTGTATTATATTAGTCACAGAAAGTGTCATCCGTTCACGTAGACCAACGCATTTTCTACACAAAATTTAATGTCTAATCTAAGCGTCTTATCTGAAAATTGTGTTCAGTCCGTCTTATTCCAACATCTTTGCTTCTTCATCTTAATTTTTTTGCGTATCTTACTGATAATAACATTCACGTATATACGTCGGTTATTGCAAATTATAGGCAGCATATTCTTGAAGAGCCATTACAATTGGTTTTAACGCACCCTGTCAGTATCTACCTTGCCTGCTCTCTTGTAGTCTGTCCGCACTCAAACTACAGAAGTATGTATCATCAGGTTGACGATTGCTTTTCTTGTGGGTCATTAATTTTATTATGGCCTTGCAGATTCAAGCATTTTGCTCCGCTTCCTTCCCATACTGTTAGAATATGTGCTGCAAGCTTGTCTCGTAACCGTCTCCAAACAACCCCGTTCCCCCACCCCTGCCCCAGCCCGCCGTTTCGTCGAATGACCCTCTCTCAATAAGCAAGGACGCCCCTCACTCACATTAACTCTCGCCCCGTGGCCTTTTATTCGGGCTGCGCTGACATTCAGTTCCAGGAATCGCAGCCTTGTGCGAGAGTTGTTCGGTGGTGCTCGTTTGTGGTGTGTGTGCTGCCATGTCTCCGTGGTGAGAGAAGGAGGCTACCGCTGTTTCATCGTCGCTGAGCTCTCGACTGTCTGAGGCGATTCGTGGAAGCGGGCGCGTCACTCGCAGCTTGGAGTGCCTGCTAACAGCAGCATGGAGGTACGTACGATTAGGATTACGGACAAAGTTTTGTTGAGTGAATGAACTAGAGTTAAGCCACCTGGTGATAGTAAAGTCAACAGCCGGGCTGCCCGCCATTTGGGTACCCATGACTCTACTTGGAAGATCCAACTGGATATCCACCCAGAAATATCCTGCGCGGGACTATCTATTCATGTACAGTTGCCGCGAGGCCTGTCTAGGCGCGTGCAATATCTACGATTATGTGTCGTTTCCTTTTGTTACCATCACAGTGACCCATTCCGTCATACCTATAGGCACAGTGAAATGTTTGAAACATTCGGTTTTTCATCTTGTCTTTAACAGCGCAATGGCTCTATGTCATTATGTAGTACCCTTTATCGGTACGCTTGGCAACTTTCACCATTCTAGTACCGAATATAAAAGCTGTTGCCAGTTACTGGATGTGCGACCAGAAACGTTTACCACTACTTTTCCGGCCAGGGCCCAACTACATCACTGGTAGCATTCGCTAAGTGGTTGTTCTTCGAACGGGAGCTTAGTTTAACTATAAATATAATCTAAGTCTTTTTATGCTAGATTATGCTACGAATGCTTTAATTTTATCAAAACATACGTTTTATGGGTGTGAATCTTTTCAGAATCTTAGTATAAATCTAAGTACGATCTTTTCTACAAACTATTGGAAATGGAAAAATATAAAGCGCTCATATTTGTCTCTAAGGTGTCTCTTAAATAGGAAATGCGGCCTCTGTTTTGCAGGTTGATGATGAAACACCTCCCTTTCTGTAACCTATGCAAACTTCTTGCTGTGATGTTCTATTTTCGATGCAAAGGATATCCTATATGGCCGTATTGGATCGTTTCTTCGTGTTTACTTTGAAAAGGCTTTATTTCATAAGCTGGCTTTGGGTGCCTTAATAAATTCGACTGGATAGATTGTATGCAATCATCAAGGACTACCATTTTCTGCCTTAAATTGCGATTGTTTAGACATTGTTTCTTACTTTGAATATAATCGTGTAATAGAGGTCCACTCATTTAAGGTAGGGTAGCAGCCAGGATAAACTATATTGAAATCCCAATGCAAACCTTAAATTGTGCACGAAAGTTCCCTTAATGCTCATTCTTCATTTAGTGAATTGGTCCTGTCTAAAGAACCTTAGGATTGCGGCTACTTACGTATAAAACGACACTGCAACTACGCATACTACGTATCTGCGGGGTGACGGCTTGAAACTAATGGCTGCTTAAAATGTACCATTAACGACGAAGTCTTTTGTAGCGAATAAGTACTACATTTATTGAACCCATCCTAATGCCTAGATACACATCCTATACAACCTAAGTAACGATAATTTTTATTAGTGCTTAGAATGTCATAAGCTCATGACGTGTTGTCTATGAAAAATTGTAGGTTAGGTTTTTTACGAAACTTAGCATTAGAATTTGTTTGCCTGACTGCGGACATCATTCAGGCCAAAATGTGTGGCTGCGCACTAGCCGCGACATGACTCGATTGATTTTATTACAAAAAGATTAATCTAACCGAGGTCGTTACTTCGCTGTTACTGTAGGCTATCTCTACAGACATAGACATCTATGATCACAGAGGGTATATTTAGTAAGAACAAAGGAGATAAAGCAATCAACGAGACCAGATATCATTTGAAGCTTAGCTAAGATAGAACAGCCATGCATAGAACATGATCAGCATTTATCATGTTCTACCACATTTCATACTTTGAATTTCCAAGCCTCTAAATATATTTCCATATGGTCTGCGCATTGCTCCATATTATTGGCACTGTCCTTTGTACTTAAACAAACGAAAGTGCCAACACTGGATAAATTTTCCTTAGTATAAATATTACCATTGACTACTATCGACTATTGACGCAGAATATCTCGCAGCGGTTTCTCCCCCAATAGTACAGAGATGATCTGTCATATTTTTTTTTTCTTAGTTTAGAACAGCTAATAGATTGAATAGATGTAGGTTGTGGAGTTCTTCGTGTATTTTAAAGAAAATAGACCTGCATATCTTCGAATATTTTAGGGCACTACCGTTTAGAAGGGACATACTAATAATAATTTTTATTTAAACGCAATTTTGAAAAATGAGGGTTTACTATGAGCATACCGGCTGATTGCAAAGCATCTATAAAAAATTGCCATTTCGATGCCCTCTCAACTGCGACTCGGTTTTCCCACGACTTTCTCTAGAACGTCAGATCCTCTTTGTTTGATGTGTTATAGTATAGTTCATCAGGAATAGAGGGAAGTGGCAGAAACCCAGACGATGGTTGATATAAAAAGACGGAATACTTATTGGCAAAGAACGGACATTTTTCAATCGGGACAAGATTTCTCGACACAAGCACCCGCCAAAGGCGTGCTGTCCGTGGTGAAATCTGAATGAAAAAATCCTTTCAATTTCTGTAAATTTCACCCACGCTTCCCTCAGCTAAAGCTCGCTGATTTTAAAGAAAAAAGTTGACTTTTGTTTAACTTGGGAGATTTCATACGGAGACGGCTATATTTCACTAAATTGTGCCTTAATGATGGATTTGTACCAGAATCGCACACGGGTCATGTAGACTTAATTTCGCACTAACACAAAAATACGTGCGAACTCATTTCTCTTTTTTGCATTATCCATCCAACAAAATTGGAAGGCGTCCATTTCTTTCATGAACCTAAAGTGAAATTATGATTCTGTGAGATTGTGTTGAACTGAACGTTACAAATGCGCGGAGCTTTAAAGCAAGGGCAACCCGATATTTTATACTTGGCTATACTTTGTTTTGCGTCACATACGAAATATTCCACGAGATTTATTGCCTGCCGTTATTCAACCCCGATCGTACAGTTAGAAATAATAGATAGATTAACTAACCTGAAAAGTTTTCAAGCTGTGCCTGACAATCAGCCTCTACTTTTTGTATATTGAACCATCAAGGATCTGAACCCCGAAGTATTACTACGAGGGTCATTCAGGAGAGGTTGACGGTACAACTCGGCCCCTTTCAGTTCCTCGTTGAAACCGCAAACAACAGGCTTGCATCGTGGGTGTTAGCCCTACGCGATGGTCTTCATCAGTTTCTAGCTACCTGGTCTTTGCGTCAATCGGCGAAGCCTATGCTCTTTTGTGATGGTTACGGCTACTGCCATTACCTCTGTTTGGTCTCATGGGTACGACCGTCGCCACTGGCATGTAAATGCTGTTTAGCGCGTGAGAGCCGGTATTCTTCGCACACGGTTTCGGTTGCCCACACTACCGTACCAAGTCAGATAAGAAACCAATCATACAAAAAACTATTTTTGCCCTTAAAGCAAATCGAACTCACGCACAACAATACTAATACAGTGTAGAACTTGGCAAGTAGTCTTGTTTCTGAAACTTGCTGGAAACATCTTAACTTTGTAAACTAAATTTCACTAATTGTACGGAATTCACTAACGGAAGTACAATTTGGTATTCTGATTTAAAGAGCTTCGTTGACATGAAGATTCCTCGACACTTCAAATCCGGTTATCTCAATTAGCGGTTAATCTCCTAAAAAGCTAAATTTATTGTTATTGAAAAACCATAGTTTGAGTACTCCTATGAACATAGTGGTTCAAAATTCAGTCAGTTACGATGACTATTGTACCATCAGACAAATAATGAATTATAATTTTATTTATACCGAAAGTAGCTGTTGAAATCATGATAACATAGCTCGATGCTGCCATCTAAACAAAATTCAGTGTACACTAGAGTTGTCAACGGCGTTTCTGCGACTATTTCAAGAGATGATTATAGCCATTATTAGAATCAGCTCAGTGAAAAAAAAACATTGCACACCTAGGAGTTTGAATATAAAAACACATTTCCTTCAACTGATTCGAAAGCAACAAACAACTGTGACAATGCATTGTCAAGGGCCATATACACTCAACATACATCGGACCGTTCCTTCGTTGGCAACCGTGTGACCTAACAGGCCATCAGTCCACCGTTATATAGTCACCTACATATTTGTACAGGTTGTCCCACAGGTTAGATTCTAGCAAGCGTTTGTATATTTTAGTTAAGAATGAACTGATCAGATTTAGTTGTTGACTTAATTTTATTAGTCGATGCACCCATAAAACCAGAACGACTAGAACCCATTTAGTCGTCGTCTAATGAAACTATTCTCTGGGGCGTAAGAAACATTGACCATGTCACTAACAAAGATACTAGCATTAAAGCTGCAATTAAAACCAATAATCGATCAAAGTTTAAGTGGTCGATTAAGGGCATGAACAGGAAAGTGTGAGCAAATGGTAATAAAATACAAGCGATGAATTGGTTGCTCAGCTTTATGTATGGTGACTTCCAATCGCAGTAAGGTAGGCCAAAAGTAGAGACATGGATTCCTATCACAGAGAGAAGGAGATAAATAGTTTCGAAGCTTTCTGCAAACGCATTTTACCTGTCGATAATTCCAACCCTCGGTGTATTAGTATGCACGCATACATATTTCTATAACTATTATTGTATCAAATAATGTATAAATCAATGTTGTGTTTAGATATAATATGATTACGTTCATAATCTCTATAACACTATGTACGTCTACCCATCTTTACTTGATAACAACGTGTCTGATTTAAATTAAGAAAAATGATTGGAGTAGCATTGCAGCGAAAGAAAATACATACAAAGAAGATAGCGGACAAATAAGCATAATATTTGCTAAAATTTCGTTCGAGTTGCCTAACAATGCGTACCCCAAATCATATTTCTTCTGTATATATACCAGTGCGTCCTGTCTAGTGGTAGGACCCTAAATCTGTTACTTTATTACAATTTACACGATTTGAAATTAACTTGAGTAGACTAGTTTTTTTTCACTCAGAAAAGGAGACGTTTTAAAAGGTTTAAAATAAAATAAAACTATGATTCGTTTAAGTTGAAATTGAAAATATTTTTTTAAAGAAAGGGGTTTTCACCAGAACAACCGACAAACCTAGCTTCCGTAGTCCGATTACGAGATAAAGCTTAATTTGCTGCGTTTTGTGTTTTCTTCGGATACTTGTTACAATATGTTACAATACAACAATGCTACAATACGACAAACCTGTCTACTAAAAAGGTTACCCTTTTAGTCCAAATTTTCTGTTTTGGCTAACTCCGTTTACAAATATTTAAGTTCGCCAATAAAACCAGGACAAAACAGTTCACTTACTTTTGGGTTGTGTGAATGACATATTTCGAACGGCCAGTCATGCCTAGAGGGAGTAAAAACTTTGTACATGATTGTAAAGGCTATCGGTTGGTTTCACCATAGCTATATACTTCTACTAAAAAAAATAATCCATGTTTTTCGGTGCTGCCCATATTCTGAAGCTGATGTCGGACCGTGTTTATGTTGATCGAGATACCTGTAATTGTAAACCGTTTTTTTGCTTTTTATTTAGTAACAATGGCCGTCTCAAACTAAAATGTGATTTAGCTGTTCCAATGTGAGTACCTTGATCCGTAACAGTTCTGGTCTACAGACATCTGCAAACAGAATCATAATAGTTTAGATATAATAGTTAAACTTGCACTTCGGGTAGATGGGATTCCGAATCGATGAAATCTCCCTTATTTGCTATTGCTGTGATGGTCATGACTAGCTTACAAGACAAAAAGTGGTAATATTAAAACCATTTGAGAAACAGAAGTCGCGGGGTTACTGTAGCAAACCAAGGTTTCACAACAACGAATCTTCATTACATTCAGTACATGTATATCTAACAATAAGGTCGTGAAAAAAAAAGTCGTACATGAATTTTTTCCTTTCCTTGGCGTGTTTGTCTGGTTGGTGTTAGATGTTGTGCACTAATTATATGTAGCCTTTCTTTTGCTGAGATTAACTTGATAACATCTTGCTACTAGAATATTTAGGAATAACCTCATGCTGGTCATGTTGGTTTTCAAAAGAGGCTACCGACCGCATGTGGCAACCAGCATTTGTCAGAACATTTTTGAAAAGGTACATACAAATCTATAGCCAACACTGCACACTCATAGGCAGCGTCTTTACTCTACCATGCAATTGGCTATTTAGACACAACTTCTATTTATTCGCAAGCGTGCTCCCAAAAAAAAATATTATATTTATCAAGATGAGTCGATGCTAAAGAGCGAAGCTGTCCGAAAAGCACTCCCATATGCCGTAATGTTTAAACAATAGACGCGGCAGCTTCATGAGCCAATATACATCAAATGATAAGAACACCCCTACCGTTAAATAATCGCGACCAGCGCTTGAATTATATTGATCAACACTAGTCATAGCAAAGGACTTAGTTATCGTAAACGCAGCATTGACAAACGATGACTATAGTAGGGTAAATAATACGCATGACAAAAATCATAGTAAGTTTGTTCTCCCTGCGTTAATTTCGAACGCCCAGTAGCCACCCAACTCTTATGAGATCTGAACTAACACTATTTCTGTAACTCTAAGTAGACCGGTATTAAAACGTTTTGTCATCCATTCATGAATCGGCATATGTTTATTTTAGTAAGGCTGTTTCTCTTTTTAAGTTTTAATGGTAGCATGATAAGCAGTTGTTTACGATATTCTTGTACGTGTTGGACACATGTTTTTTACTTCAGGGGGGAAGCGTGTCTACTTGGGAGCGCATACAACGCTTACCAGAGCGTTTACATCAGCAAATGCAACAGGTGTATGGCGTGCACATGCCTATAGAGGTACGTCGAGCACTCAGTGATTGGATCGACAAACACGACTGGCAGACGCTTAATCCCGACAACCCGGATGTGAACCAATATGTACCTGTCTTAGTACGACAGTTCATGCATGAACTAGAGGTAAAGAAATTAGGCAACAGGTGATTAAGTACTTAAACAGTTTATAGAACATATTCGATGACGCATTTAGTTACTGGAGTAGCAGCCTAATGGATACTCAATGCATACCATTCAAAAAAACCACAAAGCTTAATTGAAACATCATAGACAGAAAGGCGTAGGACTTATGAAGTTGCCTAAATTGACTACCTACAGATAATTTCATTGGAAAGAGCTAAGGGAAACGTTTATTTATGCTACGGGTGGAAAGAAGCAATATGTATTTTATATCAGGGAATCCGGCCAGTCCAAGCATTGGTTTAATCATAGTCAGATGGCTGGTACCTGTAAAAATGATTTGTTTTTCACTTTAATTATGTGCCTGAGTATTCACAACAGGTTTTGCGACTTACCCATCTTTCAGGAGAAGGCGAATGGAGCGAACGATTTCGTGATGCGGATCAAATTAACAGAGGCTTTAAATCAGTTTAAACAGGATTACAGTAATGATCCATCCTGTCTCATTCGTGTCCTACGCAATTGCGTCATATGTGAGCAAAAGATTATAGCTCAGTATGAGGCATCCTCCGGGCAGCAAGGATTAAGCCTTTTGGGTAGTGTATCAGATCCAACACTTACGATTCTCCAAGAAATGGGTGACTGTCGGCGTAATGCACAGGTTATGGAAGATCAGATAAAACAAATGCAACAGAAGGAAGAGGCGTTCGTTATCCAATATCAGGATATGCAGAAGCGTAATGCACATCTGCAGCAACTACAAGCAAATGGTCAGTCTGCTGAGATTATACAGCGTACTCAACAGGAGGGAGCCCAATTTGAGGCTCTTATCAAAGAGAGTGCAAGAGAACTGCACCAAGCTCGACTGAGCTTTGAAAAACGAATCACAGGTAAACAAAAAAAAAGAGGTTGTGTTAAGACTCAATGGTGAAAGAGGAATAAGTAGCCTAGGAAAAAAAGAACTAGAACATAGTACTAAAAGTTCCTAACAGGTTTCACGTATTTTGGGTCCTTGGTCAAGCGAATATATATGATACAGTGTAATTCTTTGCTAATCGTAAGGTTTGAGAGGTTTACCGAAAGGAAGACGACTACTTACTCACCGCACATTTAATTGCAGAAAGTGTGCAGCAACTGGCGCAACTCCAACACCGTATTGTCGATACTCAGCTTGCCAACTGGAACCGAGCGCAGCAGCTTGCTGGAAACGGTCAAGCGTTTGAAGATAATCTAGATCAAATTCAGGAGTGGTGTGAAGAACTAGCAGAACTGATTTGGCGGCACTTGCAACTAGTGCGCAGGCTTGACTTTTTGATCAATAAAATGCCGACCACCTCCGGGGCGACCCTGAAAGAGAATTTCTCCCAGTTGGAGAACCGAATCAAGGTTCTGCTATCGGTGCTTGTGTGCGGGACTTTCGTGATTGAGAAGCAGCCTCCGCAAGTGATGAAGACCAATACACGCTTCTCTGCTACGGTTCGTCTGCTTGTGGGTGGAAAACTTAATGTGCACATGTCACCACCCCAGGTGAAGGTATCTATTATTAGTGAAGCACAGGCCGTGGTTCTTGCGCGTAACGATGGGTATCCATCAAACGAAGTCTCTGGAGAGATTTTGAATAATATCGGAGCCATGGAGTATCATCAAGCTACAAAGCAGCTATCCGTCTCATTTCGTAATATGTCACTAAAAAAAATTAAACGTGCAGAAAAAAAGGGTACGGAAAGTGTCATGGACGAAAAATTCTGCCTGCTGTTCCAGTCAATTGTCAAGGTAGGAGACATGACGTTCTCCGTACAGGCTCGATCTTTACCGGTCGTTGTAATTGTTCATGGGAACCAGGAGCCACACGCTTGGGCAACGGTCACTTGGGATAACGCTTTTTCAGAACAACAGAGACAACCATTTGTAGTACCTGAGCGTGTACCGTGGAGTCAAATGGCACAGGTTTTATCAACAAAATTCCAATCTGCGACTGGTCGCGGTCTTTCGGAGAGCAATTTACATTTTCTCGCAACCAAGGCGTTCCGTAACTCAACCTTAGGCCATGATTTCCGTGAGCATAAGCTAAGCTGGGCTCTATTTTGTAAGGAACCACTTCCAGACCGCGGGTTCACATTCTGGGAATGGTTCTATGCGATAATGAAAGTCACGAAAGAACATTTGCGCCTTCTTTGGAATGATGGAGTCGTGTGGGGTTTTGTAAGTCGACGCGAAACGGAAGATATGTTACTTAAAAAACTTAACGGCACATTTCTACTGCGCTTTTCGGATTCTGAGCTCGGAGGTGTCTCTATTGCCTGGGTCGCCGAGAATGAAAGCGGCGGTAAAGAAATTCTTATGGTGCAACCCTTCACATCCAGGGACTTCCAGATCCGCAGTCTTGCAGACAGGATATCGGACCTTCATGTAAGTGACAAATACTGTAGAAATTTTGAACATCGATTTCTTCTATAACATAAATACGAATATAATATCCTTGTTACATTTATAAAAGCAAATCGTACTGTAAAAGCTGGTTAGCATATTTCTTCTATATCAGCTGCTGGCTCACATTGCATAATTAAATATCTATATGTAAGTTAGTAGTAGTACATTACATGGTGCCTAAGGTGTCGAATAATTTTACATTGTAGTTCGTATTGTGGTAGGATAATATCAATTGTTATAAAGCGCAATCGCTTACTCCAAAGAGAATTCGAAACCCTTGACGATGACGTCACACTTAAGACTATGTTATGATGACTCACAGAAGCCTTGCGTGTGCGTGGCTAGATGGCTCCATGAAAATAGATGAAAGACACCGGCGCAAGTGCTGGCGAAAGTGCCCGTAGTATTTTACACTGATTTTTTTTTAACTGATATTAAATTCAATCCTCAATGGTTGTGGAACCCTTAAATTCAGAATAAAGTTTTAAATCTTTGCTTTGTGTTATCCATACGGTGCAGCAATTGGCCGCATGTTTAAATATCTGGAACACCTAGACATCTGCGATAGTCCACCGTTTTTAGATGGATAACACATAAAAAAAAAAGAGTAAGTTTTTTTTTTCTGCAACAGTGCTGTTACCGTGGAAATTGCGTCGAAGTTAAAATTTGCCAACTAACCGTAATAAGAAAATTCGTTTATAACCAGGGTGTGTAAAAGAATAAGTTTAATCCTCTTCTTTGTATGAATAATAAGCAGGTGCGGGTCTTAACAAACATCCATGATTTAATCTTACCCTATATAGAACATCTTGTACCTCTATCCTGACACGGTAAAGGACACAGCGTTCGCTAGGTACTACACGCCTGCAGTGGGAACGCAGCCTGGTCAAAATAGTAACGGATATATTAGGCCAATGCTGATTACCCAGATCCCTGGGATTCCACAGCAGTCGACTTTAGATTCAAACCCAGCCACCCCAGTACCTTTCTATCAGCACTCTGAGTCGACAATGTACCCCGCAGGATCGCACGACACGACGTTTGGGGATCCGAATTCGATGCAGTAAGTACAGCCACCTTAATTTCGACCTTCTTATTTTCGCGAAAATGTTCTACTATTTTTCACACTGTGACCTACTCCAATACTCAACGAATCAGTTAGTCAAGGATGTATTTCTAGGAATGACGATATTTGTCGCACAACTACACAGCACGCTTTAAACTTAATTTATTTATGTGAAGTTAAACACAAAGGCGTTTAATAACGTCTGGCTTGGACAAATTAAAACGGAACAGCTCGAAGGGAGCACGCAAGCCAATACGAATGGCGTTGTAACTAGCCAAACTTTAAAACTCTTAATTAAGTGCTGTATGCTTTTTTCGCTGAATAAAATGTATAACACTGTAAGTGTTAGTAAAGGCACAGTAAGTGACATAAATATTTTCGTAAAGTTTTGTCGATTGATACTGATCAAGTTGCTGCATGATAGAACATTGGATTGAAGCGCCTCGCTCGAATCAAGCGTCATCTATAACTTATTTGCCTGCCTATAGACAGGTTTACCTCAACATGTAATATTCGATCAGGTATGGGCCTCCTATGATTAATTGGAGCGAATGAAGTGTTTGCTAGCTGGTGTATGTATATGTAACATATATTAATAGCACGCCGTAGTTATAGGCATGGGCTTCCAGCTCACACAATAATAACATCATGTATGGCTGCAATACACCACATTCGATCAGCCTTTATTCCAATTCGTCTAAGCGTGTTTTGTGCTATAATTTTTTATGTTTTTAAATGCTTTTTGTGTAGTCCTTAGTTTGCGCTGGCTTATATCTGCTACACATATCCAAGAAAGGGAGAGAGAGACGGCTCGTCTTATTTTCCTTACTTAGATGTTCTCATACTTAGACAAGTATGTATGTGACAATGACTTTGAGTTGTTCAGGTATCCTTGCTTATCATCGAAACATTTAGTAGTGCTTTTTGAGAAACTGTGTATGAGGTAAGGATCTTGTACTCAATAAGTGGAATAGTCAAAGACCACTTGTTTAGGGGATGATGACGAAATTCGCGTTGAACCTTTTTTCCCTATTCAGCCTCTCATCATTAGCAAGTTGTCAAAAAAAATAATAGAGATTGTGTAAATATTCTCTAATTTCTTGCATTTTAGTTAGCATAATCAACAACAGTGCGCATTTCCACCTATACTGGATATGAGATGGATACTTATTAACGCCACTTAATTTATCCTTGGTTCGAAGAAAATAGAGAAATATGGTCAGAAACAGTAAAGCTAGTCAACGGACTCGGGAAGTGCTGATAAGCCGCACTATATTGTATGTATGGCTGAAGAAGCTGAGTGTCAGAGGCATGTCTGCAGGTTTTGCTGCAGATGGTATGATTGGTGTGTTTGCTAATTCGGGACCCTCTCGTCTTTTCGTCTCTCCCTCTCTTTCGAGCAGGCTTTTCGCACTTTCCGCTGCACAAAACTCGGCCCAACCCCTGAAGCGACTCCGCGATGAGGATTTCTGCACGATGCAGCAAGTGTCCAACTGACGGCCCGCTCAAACGCAGGGTCAGCATCTCCAAGATAATCGTAATCAACAAGCAACTACAGGAACAACCCAAGCACAGCAGCACCAACAACGGCTTCACCACTTGCAAAATAATTCAAGCACCACCGCCTGCAGCAACGGTACTAACAACATGGAATCGCAACAGAAGGCGGATCGTGATATCAACACCATTCAGGAACAGACAAAGCATCAGCAGGTGTCGACCATGTCCTGAAGTCCTTCCGGATAAGCCATTTATTAAATTATAATCGGCTATAATGAGGGATAGCAAGTCATTAGTGAGCATCTGCAATTATTTGGACGATTCATAAATGTTTCATCCTGTTTAACATCGTCTCGTCGTCTTCAACTATCAAGGCCTGATATACATATAGTAAAGGACCAGCACGCAGTTAAATTTCAAGGGAAGGACTAAGAAGATGACCTCACGGGAGCAGTATTATGGATATATACGTCCGATTTATATAGAAATGCCACTGTACCAGCTTTGTCAGATGCTATGCCGGCATAATTAAGGAAGCTGCAGAAGAATTTTAAAACACTAAGGCGTTGAATACAATAAAAGGTGCAATCGCCGTGCAATCCTAATGACATCAACGAAAAAAAGATTAACACTTGGTTACAATACTTGGCTTGGAAACATCTTCGGAAGTAGTATTTATCAGCAAGTGTAGTCAGTATTGCGCTCATACTGATTCTTATAAAAGAGTGAGATTAGAATTCCGATTGCCCATTTGATTCAAAGTAGCAAGCGTGCGAACCGTAGACTCCCTTAATTGCATTAGGCATCATCGCAAGCAATTTCTCACCATCAATGACATCTTTGATATATGTCATATCATTTTTTCTATGTTTTGTATATGACAATTTTGTATTATCATCATGATTTAGTTTATATGCAGACATGCAGCGCGTTATCCAAGTAGCTGTATAGTACTGCGTTTACGCGCCGTTTTTTGATTTAATATATTTAAGCATGGTAGATAACTGGATTGAGAGGGCACATGCTGACGCAAACGCTAATGTAAAAAGCACATCGGCACATGTTGTTTTAAACACATAGCCTAATCCACCAGTCAGTTGCGAAATCGAAGACCTAAAATAATTATATTTATAACCCGTTTGAAACCTATGGTCTAACAAATGGTATCAACTATTGTACATGTTAACATTAAGCTATGGTTTACACAACAGGCGTGCACGTATTATATACATATTATACGTTCACGTTTATTGTGTATATATATATATATATATATATATATATATATATATATATATATATATATATATATATACAAATGTCTTCAACATGACAACTGTGCTTACAAAGGGTAAAAATAAGGGGTCTGTATTTGACGAATGCGTGCTAAATGTGACTTTTCCTCAAATCGTTTATCGTCATAATACACGTGAGATGTGAATTGAAGTAAATATATACATGAGTATCTATAAAAAAAAACAGGTAGGACCGATAATAAACTACCAGGGGCTCATTGGTAACGCTTATCATCTATTACCATAAGCCCAGGGCAGACTTAAGGGTCGTATATCATTGTGAGTGTCACGTAACAGTGTATCGAACGAATTGAGTGTACCATTGTGAGATCACGATAAAACCAAATAAAAATATAATCTTATTTGTGCAGAACTGAGTTTTAATTGTCAACTGCCACATATGTTCAGTGCTGCCTAATACTATTTTTTTAGGTGCCCACACGCATGATCAAAACAAGCATGTTTAAACTTAAGTGCATGATCTATTTTTAGGGAAATTGCATGGCCTAACATGGGAATAACTGGGCTACTATTGAAGATTGTCAAAATGTACATGCCGATATAACCCTTAAAACTGCAACCTTTCAGTAATGCCAATGCTATTGATTAGCTTACATTTACATAGAGCATTTGTGAGAAAACTAATGTGTCTGATGTAGCGGGAAGCAGTGTAGAGCATTTACATAAGACAAGCAAATATTAAACGCAATTATAAAGAGAAACTAATTTTCAGAATTTTTCTAATATTACATCTAATAATAGATATATGTCAAAGAATTCGGAAAGATCAACTTACCTTTGTATCAAAGTAACCGTTTTATAGTGTTAGAACCAGCTTTGTTCGAACAAAAGTGGAAAGGAATACGAGAGTCTAGAGAAGGCTAAAAAATTTCACCGACGGACTTCGTAAGTGTCCGATTCATTAGAGAGTAGCGGAGCCTTTTCACTGTGAACGCTAATTTTATCTGTATCGACTCACTAAAATCTATTGTCATACAGCATTTTAGTACTACAGTTTGATTTGTTTTTTTTTTTTCAATAGTACTATTAAAACTACCAGTAGAGGTATTCCAGTAGAGAAAGATACATTTCTTTCTTTTTGACAGGCATTGCTTTTTATAAGCTATGTAATTGTAAAAAGCTGCTAACTCAATCAGGGCACAAGTCATAATTACATGCGACTGCTCTCTTGCCTAGTATTCATTTCATGTCGCTTGCATAAAAATAGATAGTAGTTATAAATAAAATGAACGACGTTTAAGACTCGTCACACCTGATTTATTTTGTTTAAAAGAGGATAACTCAAAAAAGCCCCATTAGATCCTGAAATCTTTGGAATGAATCTTTTGTAATTTTGGGAGTGAACAGCAAAACATGATTAATGGAATAGCTGCCGTAACCAATACACCAATGATTTCAGGGCCCAAAATTTTAACTGGGCGAAAACGAGTACAAGCATCGCTGATGTCAGAGGCCCCATATTTGAAAAAATTTCGTTATATTATATGCTATGTTATATATATTATATATAAAAAGATAATATGCACAATGTGCCGAAATACTGCAGAGTCTCAACTTATGTTGCGATAGATGTTACAGAGTATTTTATAAATAGCTGAGAAACAGCAGAAAAGCTAGTGAGGGGATGGTTGTGTCGTCCACGTAGCTGAGCTATACAAAGCCGGTCAGTCCAGTGATCTCTAACATACAAAAATAGAGCGCTGCTTGTAAGCGAAAGTACGGTTTACACCACTTTTTTGTGCCGTCTTAAAGCATTAAAAAGTGTAGCGGAAACCTGCACAAGTAAGCGGTTGCGCCCATCGATCGCAATCTTGAAAAATAAAAGAATGGACGTGTTTGAATAGCTGAACGACCCGCGTAGTAACTCTGTCGAGAAAGCAATGTTGGTTGTGGACGAAGCTATAAGTACGCCCCTTAGAGCATCCTTTGGGAAGCTCATGTTCCAAAAACATTCATCCCGATATGCGCCGCCACGAAAATAGATGAAAATTTTGTCATGGCCGAAGCGGCTATGCACTTCGAGATTTCAAATGTCCCACTAGCCACTTCCTACAGGCAGATTACAATTGACTGCATAAAGTTCGAGGAGGACGGGCCCATAGCAACAGTTAAATCGCTTGTTATGAAGCACTCACGGAATTGCCCGGAATCTGAGCTGCATGCCTTATCTACCCTCCTCTTCAGGCCGGATTGTTTTTAAAATTTTTAACGAGATATTTGCTAAAAAGGAATGAGAAATTTGCCCTTTGCTCTTGTGCTTCTCTCAGTACGTCAGGTTGTTGAGAGTCGCCGACACAGCTATAAGTATGATGTAGCTGAGACAATTACGTATAGCATCGCGTATAGCGAACGAAATTTTTTTTAGCGGCGAGAATCAAAGAGACTTCCACGGAAGGAGTGCAGTCGGACCATGGAAACGCGTACGAAGCTTTGAAGACCTTCCGCGTCGAAACTCGGTAGTACAGGTCCTTGGCCTGAGTGCAATGCCGAAAAGCGTGTGTGAACTTTGTAGAGAACGTGCCGACGGATCGCTGCCATTCCAGACCTTCACAGTAAGCTCAACGTGTCATTGCTCGTGATGGAATTATCGAAGCTCCCGCTGTGGGTTGACAAGTGCTTGGAACACAGCTGATGCTTTAGTGCTAACAAAAACAGGCTCATTCAACTTACCGGGATTCTACTCCGTTTACTGTCCTGCTCAGAAAAGAACGGCTCTGCCATCTCAGGGGCGGATTCTCAACGTTTTAAAATCGTAGAGTCAGGGACCTGACCAAAGCGCGTTGTGGAAAACAACGGCATTGCCTCGTGTGGCCCGAGGATACGGCTTGTAATGGCGTACGTGCAATCTATATATGGTGAAGGTTCGTGTCCTTTATACAGACAATTTATATATATAGTAGTTCATGTGCAGCAGGTCCTTTCCGACTTACAATCAGTCGTCTTGTGATCGGGCCTGACAATCTCTCCAATCGAAACCAAGGAGATAAAACTGAAGAAAGGTGGCAGAATTTTAATGGTGCGCTATAATTCTCTGACTGTCCGTTGAGCGTTGGTGACCGACTTATCCATTTAGGATTTCTCATCTCATATGACCACCAGAATGTTACAGAAAAATACAGAATAGCTTTGATAGCTTCATCTTCAGTATTTAACCCCCTGGCGGTCGTATAGATCTGCAGCTTCTCGACCACAAAGTTATACCGGTTTCCACATACAGGGTGAACGCAATTGAGGAGGATCTCAAGCAAGTGGACCGGATAAAAATCTCGTTCCTTAGTCGCACTACAGGACTGTGCCGAACAGCCTGCAACAGAATTGCCTACCTACTGTCTGCCGCCGTTTCAAGCTACCGTCAACTACGGCATTTTGAGAAAATCCGGCAAAATGAGATCAAAAATTCGCACAGGTCGATCCCGGATTCTATCAATCGGGAACCGTAATAGACGACACCCAAAGTGGACTTGAACGGCCTAATATATATGTAATGAAGTGTTATGCAGTCTCTTCCATAGGTTATGCAGAGTACGTAAGTAATATTTAATTTGTACTAATTTTAGGCAAGCCGATAACGTGTATCATGCTTCTCGCTGCCCACAAGTTCAATCGCTGGACAGCATACCTTAGTAAAAGACCAAAGGGTGGTAATGACAAGGTGTAGAATTTCATAATTTCGTAAAGCCCAGATTGACTATTTTTATGGTATTAACTTTAGCCCAGTTTATAGAGCCGTCATACGTATAGTATTTTAAATTGGTTTTGCCACGTTGTTATTAATATATATATATATATATATATATATATATATGCGTTTGGGTGCTACCTGCAGAATTGTCACCTGCTTTTCTCAACATAACTGAAAGTACACAATATCAGTTAGGCTGCCAGCTATATCACAAAAGGTCGTCCAAACAGTTATCGTTAACCGTAACTCAAATTCGCACAAAATAATTGATAATATCAAATAGGATCTCCTAAGAGTCAGAAAATATAGTATTAGAATTACGATCTGCTAATAATATTGTAACAGTTCCAGATAAAGCAGGTAACGATAATGTTGTAATGAAAACAGATAAAACGATAATAAGAACATTTTCTCCTGTTATTCCATATGAACATATATTTAAAATAATTACCATTTAAAATTAATGGAGCTTATGATCGAGGAGGACTGAACATTACAAAATAAACTGCAGCTCTTCTATGAGATATATTTGTTTCAAAAAATATTGCACATCATCTAAACCTCTTTCGATATGTACTTTTTTCATGGTCCACCTACTTCAAATCGCCTCTGCTCTCGAATATTTTAACATGTCCCTGCGTAATGAGCAATACTCAAATGCCAAAAAATTAAAAGTAAACATTTGGTAACGCACTTGCAGCACAAAAAAATGGGGACACTGCCAAATCAACGGATGTTTGGCGGAATGTTCGTGTGTTTCAGCGTACACTTGGATAGTTTCGTGATATAAGATAGTTTCTTATGTATGCATGACTCCGAGTGTCCAAAATTTCTAGAAAGTCGTGTTGTTGCCGCGGGTGTTTATCTAAAAAAAGCCAATGTTCTAAAAGTGCTTTTTAACTAAAAAACTTTTTAGGCACCTTGCTGTCATAAGCCTATTCAAAGAATAAGGCAAGTCAATTTTATGCTACTAACCGTGCCTGCTTAGGTGACTTTCAGTCAGATTGCCTCAATAATTTATGAAGGTTAGGCCACTCTGCGGTACTTCCATTGATTCTTCGCAGTTTTCGCCTGCTGTTGTTAATTGAGGTGGTTAACGATCGTTGCTTTGAGTACTTCCTGTGTGGTGTTACCAGGTAGCTAATCCGATGAGATTTTGTACCTGAAGAATTTTTCAAGGGTCAAATATATACGTTTATCTTATCATGGCAAAAACATATTTTCTCAACTTCTTTACTCGGTCGAATGTTCAAAAAATGTATATCAATAGCACTATAAAAATATGTACACTTGAGTCAACGATATTGAAGACGTATGCGTGTTTTAGGGCGCAGAAAGGTAAAAAACTCAATAGTTCCGTCTGTATGTTTTTTGCATTTTATTAGGCGTCTTATATATTTCACCTTTACGATTTTTTGGCAAAATTGACTAATTATGGATTGGCTAAAAATCTTCCATCAGATTGATTTTTGCAGTCTACGCCACCCACCAAACTGTTATAACTAAATTGAATTTGTCTGAGAGTCTTTATTTGGTCGCTTTGTCAGGGCTATAACGTGCTATTTAAGTTATTGCATTAATGCAACATTTCGACGCCTTTCTATCATTCTGACCAAATGATTAAAGCACTTTACATAGCCAGAATAGTCATGACGGCATGCGTTTCCATTTCTCTAAGCGT